GGCAACCACTCCCTAGTGATGCACATTGACCATCTTGTCCTGATCCACATGGCCCCTTTACCTACAGCAGCATTCACAGCACAATACTCTTTTGCAATCAATTAATTCCCACTTCATTGCTGGTCTTTCCCACCTTTGTGCTATCAAGAGGACCTGAAAGTGCAAGGGCCGCAGTAGAGAGGCGCCCGCGAGAACGCCAGGAAAGAGGAAGGACTGGGAAAGCAGCAGTGAGTGTGGCCTCCTAGAAGATGTTCAAGCCAAGCCGGGTGCTGGGGGTTCCACTTGCCACCAAGCTGAATCCTGTGCGCCAGTGCCTCTTCCTCTGTTGAGGAAAACTGGTCGGTGGCATCGGCAGAAAGGCTACAGACAGCAGTGCTGAAGGACCGATGTGTAACTTGGTTTTACAGTGCTTGCCTTGCATGCACCTGTCTATGGCTCAATTCCCAGTGCTGAATTTATTTTTTAAACTTGAAATAAGGCTTTGAACATAAAGTAGTTCCTTTATTATAATGGTTCTCAACCTTCCTAATGCTGCGACACTTTACAATTCCTCGCATTGTGATTTCAACCACAAAATAATTTTCATTGCTACTTCATAACTGTGATTTTGCTGCTGTTATGAATAGTAATGCAAATATCTGTGTTTTCTGATGGTCTTAGGTGACCCCTGTGAAAGGGCTGTTCGAAGTCCAAAGGGTTCTTGACCCACAGGTTGAGAACCACTGTTTTATCAGGATATTATGGGAGCAATGGTGATGGTGAAGGAATGATGTTGGATAACAGTCATAGTTGGGAAATGAGAACCTGATTTCTCTTCAGTTCCTCCAAAAGACAGAGCAAAGAGACGACATTCACATCATACTGCATCTGATGATACTGGCAAATACTTTAGAAGCTTCCTAAGGACATTTCCATCCTGACCCTTCCAGCTTATTTATCACAGTCTGATCAGTCTCCTGGGTATAGAAAGAGGTTGATAAATATACTCAGGTTTATTCCTTTCTTCAGCTTACTAACTTAAAACTTAAACTGTGACTTAAAATTTAATACCAATGAAAAAATGCATCTTGAGGATAATCACTACATAATACAAAGATTTAGTCCGGGGTGCATATGTGTAATCCTAGCGTGAGGGAGGCAGAGGCAAGAGAATCAGGAGTTCAGGGCCAGACTCAGAAGAAAGAAAGATGTATGTTGACAAAAAAGATGAATGGAAAGATGAGAAGTTAAAGAAATCATTAACTCATCAGCAAGGCAAAGACCCGAAAAACAGGAAAATTGCCCATCGTGGTAGGCCAGGTACAAAGGTGCCACAGGATGAACACTGACCACCAGATGACAATGAGACAGAGGTGAAAGAACCAATTATCTGTAGTCAGAAGAACCAGGACGGAGTCTGAGCAATTCCACCTGGGAGTTCAAGTTTACTCACTCATTTGCAAAACATATTAGATAGCAATATAAATCCTCAAAGTTGTTGGGCTCTCATTGGGTAAGGGGCTTGTTTTACCAACTAGAAGACGCTGAAACAAACATTAATTGTTGCCATGATCACATCATCATAACGAATTGGCTTTTGCAGCTTTGCTCAGAGATAAGTGTGTTTCATTTCTGGTGAAGATGTTGCTGCCAGGTAGCAATAAATGCTTTGTTTCTCTGGGTTGGAAAGACAAAGTGATTGATCTGATCACTGCAAGGTCCTTCTGAACTCTGTACTTTATTTTCTTCTCTGTTTCCAAGCCTATGATTCCACCTCTGGTTCTGCCCCAGGATGTTCCTGACTACTTTCAACCTCTTCTCCTGCCAAGCATGTTTCTTCTAACACCTGGAGTTTACAAAATGGTATTCTGCTTAGAAAAGCACAGAACTGCTTCATTAAGTACAAGGAAAAAAGCTGTGAGGAAATGTGTTCCTAACAAAATTTCTTCATCTCCGCCCAGTGAGCCCATGGGCTGAGGGGGGTGGCTGAAGAGCATGGATTACACGTGGGCCCCATGAGACTTTTCAGAGCTTTTCTGAGACAGGAAGTGATGAAGTCAGCTCTCACATGAACTGGGAGGTGGTTTTCTGTCTCAGCTGGGCACCCAGAGAGGGTGGGGAAGAGAATGTAGAGAGGAAGTAGGTCATGGGGAAGTCCCAACTCTGCCCCTCACTCACTTTTCCTCACTCTTCTGAGGCTATGATTGTTAGCAGACCCATCTCCAGTCCCAATAACCAATCTCCACTGTTCACTATAGTGGTATCCATGGTGACCACTCATTTTCTCCACTCTTGACCATATACGACAGCGATAATGGGACAGAGTGACCATCGACATATTAACTGCTGATTAAGTTAGGGCTCACATACCAAGTGCACTCATCTGATTTCCACCCCAAGAGAAGCTGGGGAAAAGATAGAGGGTGTGGGGGTGGATTATCTAAGTATCTGGCCACCAGCTATCAATTTGGATTGATTTTATTAATATTCACTGTCTCATGTGATTCACCACCGAAAATGGACAAAGTTAACTAGTGGCAGGTGAGAAATTAAGAGAGGGCTCAATTGATACGAAAACTTTAAGAAAAGCACACGAAAGAGGAGGCAGCACACTGGGTAATGCCCCCAGAAATGGAACCGAGAGCATCGTAGTGGTATTAGGAGGATTGCAGAAGTCAATGTGTGAGGGATGTGACTTCAGCCAGGGGTGAGCCCACCGCCTCAGTTACAGCAGGACACGTCACAAGCAAACAGAACAAATAATAATGACAGCCTTGCTGTCATTAATGGGTGAGAGTCTGGGTGAGGCTGTGTCTTGAACAAATATGAACTCAAAAGGATCTAGAGCTTAGTTACAAAGAAAGCATATTCAGCTAGGGGCATAGCTAAGTGACAGACACGAGTGTCATGTGTCCAAGGCCTGGGGTTCAGTCTATGAAGGAACGAAGGGAGAGAGCGATAGAAGGAGGGCGGGAGGATGAAAGGAAGGAAGGAAGGGAGGACGGACGGATGGACGGACAGATGGATGGATGGATGGGAGGGAGGGAGGAAGGAAGGAAGGAGCTGGTGCTAAGCCTGCATGCTCAGGATATCCCTGGCTGCTGCTGACTGTGACACTCTCAACACTGTGGAAACTGTGACAACAGTTTTCCCGTTTACCTTGAAGATTCAGCAGTTTTACCCAGGGTCATCCACCAGCAACAATGCTCTGGGACACAGAAATAAGAGCTCATCCAGCACAAGCTGGAGCTTCTCCAGTCACCAAGGGGACTCAGCCTAGTTCCAGTGAAGTCCCCGACACCTGCCTGGTATCCAGTTGCACAGCCACCGTTAGAGCAGTCTCTGTGGGCATCATGTCTGCAAGCTACAAAGGCTTAGAAAGCAACTGTTGCTTCATCTTATGTATAAGTCAGAAAAAATTACCCTCTATGGTAGCCTCAGACACCCAGACTTAAGCTCAGAAATTTCAACTACAGCAAGATAATGTTTTTATCAAATAAGATGTACAAAATCAAATAAGGATACCCATGCAAAAAGAGAAAGACATCCTTTGGGTTCAGCATATACCCTGCCACCATGTCTGACCCAAAGAGCCATTTGTACAAACTGACCCTCAGGCGGACTGAAGAGCGCATCTCAGGCCACGTGCGCCATGTTTCCATATCCCTGCCCCATGTGGACCTTTGCTGTGGTCCTTTAATCTCTGGCCTAGTAGGAAAGCCCACATCCACTAGAGCAGAGGGCCTCTTTATCTGTGTTCAGTGCGATACATTTATCAGACTTCTGCTTTCTCTGCTTCCTGTTCTGCTAGCTTTGTGGGTCCACAGCTGCACCCAGCCATGCTGCTTTTACTGCAGGCCAGTGGTCCTGAGTATGGCCCTGCAGTGGCACCTCGGAGCCAGAGCCAGGATGGTTGTTTAAGGATGGCTAAGAAGGCAGGGCTACTGGCCCCTTTCCCTCCCGCTTCTCCACCAGGCCATCACTCTTCTATCAGATGCTCCTTTCCCTCCCGCTTCTCCACCAGGCCATCACTCTTCTATCAGATGCTCCTTTCCCTCCTGCTTCTCCACCAGGCCACCACTCTTCTATCAGATGTCCCTTTCCCTCCCCCTTCTCCACCAGACCATCACTCTTCTATCAGATGCTCCTTTCCCTCCTGCTTCTCCACCAGGCCATCACTCTTCTATCAGACGCTGGTGGTGCAGATCACATTCAGATTTCCTCCTCAGATGATGAGCTGAGGTCTAAGTAAGTTATTTCCTCGCAGACTGTCACTAGAGCAACAGGGACTGTCCTTCCTAAGGAGTTTTCCGCTTCCTCCAACAGCTCTTAGGTGTTTCTGTCCACTGGAATGTCTCCCCCAGTACACACTGTGGTCTGCACCACATGAACCTTTTCAGCCCGAGCCTCCAATGGCCAACACTGAAGAACAACACAAGCACATTGCCAAACATGGCTAACAGAACCAAGCAACTACTTAAATTCGGGAGCTGGCACCATTCAAATGCACATTCCCTGCTGTGCCAGGCATGTTGCTTGTTTTCTGGGTAATTTGCCTTTGCTTATAAGCAGACTTCAGAAAGTACATGACTCCGAAAACAGGCACCTCTTGGGCTAGTATTGGAAACATTACAGATGAATGTATCTCAGATTCCTAATGAGACATCCAGCAGGGAGTGAGACAAGGAAGAGTAGGCAGGGAACACTGAGAACTTCCAAGTATCAGTATATTAGAATCACAATGAAACATATGCTTGACTTAAAAGCTGCTGCTCTTACACAACATGGAATTGCTTCTCCAAAGTGCTGAACACCATTTCTATGAATTACAGGAAGTAATCCAGAATAAAGAGGTTGACCTGCTTCACAGAAGATGATATCCCAGCACATCTGTACACACACACACACACACACACACACACACACACCCCTCTGTGAGCACTGAAAGGGAGTTCCTTCTCCCTGGCATAAGACATTGAGTCTGCAAGAGCACACACTCACTGGGCTCTCTGATACTTCACCTGAGCTGAGAAGTCAATGAGCTTTGGGAGCAGCACCTTGCCACCTTCATCACTCTTGAGGAAATCCAGCAAGCTGCCTGCAGACAGAGGAACGACAGTCAATGCAACTCAAGCACGTGAGTAAAACAGTCCCTTCAAGGGCTTTCGGGGTGGGGTGGGGCCGGGGAGGTGGTGGAGTATCGTCCAGCAAGCACAAGACCCTGGGTAGAGCACTTGCCAGCAAGTTAACATCCTGCAGCTGCCCGATCACTTGTTCGGGACAGAAAGACATGAAGCATGTCCTCATGGGTGGCCTTTCCCTTGTAGGTATCAGGCTAGGCTTGCTCTGTCCTGTTCCAGCAAAGGAAAGAGCCAAAGGCTCTGGGAGAGCTGTTGTGCTGGGAACAAGCTTGTTTCCTAGCGCCGGCAGCAGCTTCTCCTGCTTCCTTCGGTTTCATATCTATGATACCTCCTTTTCCTTAGAACTCCCAGCACCAATCATGGGTAGCCTTGGTCTCCTCACTTATCACAAAATGGGCATGGTAGCTCTGTAGGAGTTCTTGTAAGGATGTAAGCAAGAGGATGGAAGGCAGACAGTGTGGGACTCGGAGGGTAGAAACACTGCACTACATCACCCGTGACAGAAGCACAGAATGGCACTTCGTCCTTGGACACAAGGCACTGGCAGCAGTGGTAGGTGGTAAGAGCTCAATGAATTTAGATATTGTTATACTCCACACCTGTGTTTATGGTCCAAACAGTGTTAGTTAATTCAGTAATGTTTATGAAATCACAAAGCACCTAGCCTTGAGTACGGTTTCTCAGTTACAGCAACCAAAGCCATATAGTTTTATTTCTATTTTTAGCAGTATCCTTGAGGCTAGGGACACAGCTTAATGAGAACTCATTTACACAGCCTTGGCGAAAATAAAACACAAAACTGAACATGTTCTCTTCTGAGGAATGTTTTGAGTAAATGCTATTCTGAATAGCAATTATTAACAGATATTAAGTTTTAGAAAATGTGATATCCATGCTTCTAATCTATTGGCTAATAGGACTTCCTATCTATTAGCTGGATGCTAATAGAGTACTTGTCGTCTGAGTGAGGACCTAGGTGTGATCTCCAGCATTAAAAGCAATTACTAACATATGGCTCTGACAGCATACTTTACTCCCTTTATGCATGAACAATTATTAATTTAAGATTGTTGCTCATGTTTCTGTCTTCCCTTCATTCATTTTTCCAAAGATTAAAAAAAAAGTGTGAGAATGTATCTCTAGCAGACTGAAGGTGAAGAAAAGAATGACGATTGAAAGCCATTCTGAAAAGGACTAACAGAAGGAAAGATGGCTGCCTAAAACCTCTTTTAGGGGTTCCGCAACATGGGGATTTAACCTCCAGGGGCTAAAACACATGAACTAAATTTGTGCACTATCCAAGCTCTCCAGGTGAGCCACATCCACAGACCCTACATTAACATTTTTAAGCAACACTCAGAAATTTAAATACTGCTCATATTTTAAGTAAATAAGAAAAATTCTGTCCTCTGACTATGCTTATGAAAATACCCTTTCTATGACTTTCTGACTTTCCAGTATTGAGCATGTTTCACATTAAAACAGTGTTTTTGAACACTTGAACATTTTGCTTTGGGACCTGCCTCCTTTAGGGGTACGGACTGTGAACATCACTCACCCTTGGCCATGAACTCAGTGATGATGTAGATGGGCTCCTCCTTGGTGACCACAGCATAGAGCCGCACCAGCTTGTCATGCTGCAAGGTCTTCATGAGGTTGGCCTCCTCCAGGAATGCCTGCACAGACATGGTGCCTGGCTTGAGGGTCTTTACGGCCACCTTTGTGCTGTTGTTATAGTAACCTGGGCAGGCAGAAGACAGCGGAGAAGGGTGGTCAAATGGGGAATTCAAACACTGCCCTTCCTAAACGCAGAATGAGGAAGCTTAGTTACAGACTGAGCGGGCCCAAGATAAAACACACTGCGGTGTTAAAAATCGAAGGACCACTGACTGCAGGGTATGTGAGAATTCTTTGTACTCATTCCACAAAAGTTTAAAACTGCTGCAAAATCAAAAAGGTTTTATAAAACAATAGTTGTGAAAATTCTATATGCATTTTACTACAAGGACTAACATTTTCTTCTAGTTAATAAAATGTTATTCAAGGCAAAAATAAACAAGAAAATCAGAACTTTATAATACAAGTGAGAACCAGAGTGCAAGGGCCAGTGTAAAAGAAAATGTATCAGCACAGGCATGCTCAACCCTGGTTATTGTTAATGGAACAATTACAGACAATTTTATATAGTGAACATGTAGACTTTTTTGTTTCTTTGTCTGTTTTTGTTTTTTTAAGATACTCTGTAGCCATGGTCGGCCTCAAACTGGTGTTCTTCCTGCCTCTATCTCCTGAGCTCTGGGATTTGAATGTGGGTCTGAATGCCTGGCTTGCATCATCTTTACAGTCAGGATGAAGTGTAGTACTTATAAAAGCTGCTTATATACATGCTTGAAAGTATAATATGCCAGGGTCAAATAAGTATTTTCCAAGGTTTCGAAGGACTGGTCTTGGGTGACTATTGATGAGAAAGGGTTTGCTGCTGAAGACCAGAGGTCATGCCTGGCCACCGCTTCTGGAGGGATACTGGGAGCCCTCTGGGAAGAAACCTGAATTTCTTCCTCAGTGTTTCCCACCCCTCAGGAACACTGGCTTGTAGAACCCGTTGAGAAACGCCAGCTCCTTAATGCAGTCCCCTCAAGGTCTTGCTATTTTGGAAACTGCCTCAGTGAAGTACTTAAGTTTAATCCAGATTTTTTCTTAGGAAATCCCTTTTATTTTTAGGAATTATGCAAAGCAGAAATATAAATGATAAGTAAAATTCCCTTTCTCCGCTCTGTTTCCATAATTCTTTTGAAAGTGCCATCCAATAAAGTTGAGGAAAGGTGCTCCACCGGTAGCCCCCTACAGGGGCTCCGCGGTGCCACCTGGCGGTGCGGGGGTGCACCTTCAGGCAGTGGGCCAGACGAGGTGGCCCCACTGCAGGCTAGTGGATCATGGTGGTGGGCAGTGGGCTTACACCACAGTGACGTCTGTTGCAGCACTGGGTGACTTCTCCTCCTTTTGCTCTTTTCTGCTGTTATTTTGTCAGTGAGTATGTATCTATCTTTTTACGAAAGGATTTTTTAAAATAAATATTTCAAAATGAGCAGGAGGAAAAAGGCATTAGTTGCTATGGGTAGGCACCCTTAGCTAATGATTTTTCTTCTGGCCATTAAGAATGAGTTCTCTGGGTGGGGGGTGTAGCTCAGTAGTAGAGTGCCTGCTGCCCATGTGTGAAGGCCTAGGTTCCACCCCCAGCCTTGCAAAGAAAGGAGGAGGAGAGGGAGAGGAAGAGAGAGAGGAGAGGAGGTGGTGGCTGGTCTCTATTAAAATATTTCCTTTTTTATACACTATGACACTTTATTATGCTTTATTGTGCAATAAGATCAACAGTTTCAGTTAGACCATGTAGACAAAAGTGAAGAATGTAGTGGAAGTAAGTTTTAAAATGTGTCGAAAACAGTAATAGAAAAGGTAACAGGGGGCTGGAGAGACGGCTTAGTGGTTAAGAGCACTGGCTGCTCCTCCAGAGGACCCGGGTTCAATTCCCAACACCCACATCTCAGCTTACAACTGTCTGTAACTCAAATTCTAGTGGATCTGACTCCCTCACAAAGACATGCAGGTCAAACACCAATGCATCTAAAAATAAAAAAAGAAAGAAAGAAAAGGTAACAAAAGCTACCACCAAGCTGGGTGGTAGTGGCACAAGCCTTTAATTCCAGCACTTGGGAGGTAAAGGTAGGTGGCCAACCTCGTCTACAGAGCTAGTTCCAGGACAGCCAAGGCTACACAGAGAAACCCTGTCTCCAAAAACAAACACACACAAAAAGCTACCACCTAAACATCACACAATGCTAAATAATATTGCTATTTAAATGTAAAAATGGTGCCTTTTTTATAAACCTTAAGAGCAATTTAATAATAGATCCCATTAATATGTCTTTTAAATTACATTTGAGGGGCTGGAGAGATGGCTCAGAGGTAATGAGCACCTGTTGCTCTTGCAGAGAACATGAGTTTGATTCCCAGGACATGAGTTTGATTCCCATGGTGGTTCACAACCATCCATCACTCAGTTCCAGGAGATCAATTGCCCTCTTATGATCTCTCAGAGCATGAAGCCTGTAGACAGACAACATACATACATGCAGGCCAAACAGTCACACATTAAATGAAACAAATAAATCCATAAAAAGTAAATTACACTGAACCATAGATTCCATTATGGATGTTTTGTTAATTTGTAAACAAGCCCTTAGTTATAAGAGCGTACTGGTAGCAAAACATAAGAAGAAACTACACTTTTGGGAGTAGGGGGCTGGATCAGTGTGTAAAATGATTACTTTGCAAGTATGAAGACCTGAGTTGGGATCCCCAGCACCCACATAAAAGTTAAGCACAGCTCTGTAACCCGAGTGCTGATGGGACAGAAACAGGAAGACCCCTAGAGCTCATTGGCCAGTGAGTCTAGACCACTTCAAGATGCAGTAATTCCCCTGGCTCAATACATAATGGGGAGAGCAAATGAGGACGATACCCAGTGTCAACATCTGGCTTTACACACACACACACACACACACACACACACACACACACACACACACACACACACAGGAGGGTGGTGGTGGTGAGAATATTCTCCTTGGCTTATACTACTGACTTGAATCTGTAATTCCTATAAATCAGTTAAGTAGCCTAGCAGTAAAGGCATGGGTGCACATTTCCAAAAGGAGAAATTCCAGTGACTCAGATGTACAAAAGAAACTCAATTGTATTAGTAATCAGAGACATGCAAAAGAATCTGTGAGGAGAAACCAGCCCTGCTAACCCAAATCAAAAAGCATGACAGTAACTGTAGGTAAATGCTGGGGGGAGGGATGCAGCAACAGCTCCCCCAGGCCCTTTCCTGCACTTTTTTTCCCCTCTGAGCACCACTGAACATTAATGGCAAAGCTTTTTGAAAAAATCCCCAATCCCAAGGGTCCCATTAGTGATGATGACAGTGGCCTCCTTCCAAGTGACCACATAGGTTATGCTGCCCTGGGGCCATGCAGAAGGTACAAGTCCACCGTTCAGGAAAGTGCACACTGTATATTTCTAGGGACAAGTGAAACTGGAGCCATTGACAGTATTAATAGAGCAAAGATTCATAAACAGTCTTCCTTATATAGGCCATAGGGGACTGGTCCAGTTACATCATCCATAGGGTGTTGGTCCTGGAGCATACCAAAATCCAAGGATGCCTACCACATAAAATGGCACAGTATTTGCATCTAACCTGTGCACATTCTCATGGATACTTCTAATCACCTCTAGATAACTTATGATACACAGTAAAATGAAAATGCTATGTACATAGTTGTTAGACTGCATTGTTTAGGTACAAAGAAAAAACTATGTACCTCTTCAGTGTAAGCGCAACCCCTCCCCAAATGTTTCCATCCAAGATAGGTTGAATCCATAGACATAGAGGTCTGACTGTACCTTATGACTCAGCAAATCCCTTCCTCCTAGAAACATTCATGCATACTTGGACCACCAAAAACACAGAGCACACTATTTACAGTAGTCACAACTGTAAAAGCATGACTAACTCTGATTTTCACTAGTGAATGTTGAAATGAATGAATAAAATTCTATGTCTTTCATGCATACACAACACTATATAGCAACAAAGATGCATGAAATGTTATACTATCCCAAAACACAGATGAATTAATTTAAAATATTTAAAAAAAAAAGGAAAGAATAAGAGAATACATTCAGCATGACCCATTCATATTAAACCCAGACAAAGCTGGACTATATTGTTTGATGCATACTGCACCGTACATAACAGTAGTCAGACTACAGATAAAAGGTACTAAAGCCTGCATGCACATGACCCTAGCTCCACCTCCAGCATTACAGGGGAAAAGGTCAGGAAATTATGACAAAACTCCTAATAGCAGCTGTCCCCAGGCAGGCAGGGCTGTGATTGGGAAGGGACAAGAGCGACTCCGGGGCCTGACAGGCCTCCCCTGTGGGACTTTGTAATTGCTGGTGACCGCAGTAGCTTTTCTGTAGACTTGTCACATCCCCTAAAATCAAAGTTAAAGAACAAGTCACTCCCCTCACGATCACGGGAACAATGGAGTCTGGAAATGCTTACATCCTTTGAAATGATGAAAACATGCTTTCCAGAGGCAGAGCAAGAGTCATCAGGAAATAACGCAGCTGCTAAAGACATTGAAGATGCTGATAAGGAATTTGGAATCAACAGTGACTAAATAGCTGTGTCCAAAGCTCCAGAAGAGCAGCAGATCTCCCCCAAAGCCAATCATTTGAGGGTTCATTAACCTAGTCATAGAAATTTGTGTTGTTGTCATAGACAGCTTAAAAAGTATCAGGTAATAAAGGACTTGTTGTGGAGTGACACTTTGTCACAGTTAAAGAAAATAACAGCTGGAGAAAGTTCCACTTCTTGCCATGGCAGGCTTGCTAAAAGCTACACATACCAAGGGACTGAGAGTTACTTGAAAACAAACAAACAAACAAACAAACAAACACATATTGGTTTGGGAAGTTGGCTGGTGATAAGTTTTAACTAACTTGCCTCTAAATAAGAATGTATCCGTGTGAGAAATGGTTCCCCAGTTAAGTTCACTTGCTGCTCTTGCAGAGGCCTGGGTTCAGTTCTCAGCACCCACATGGCAGCTCACAATCATCTAAGGGATAAAAGACCTTTTCTGGCATGCACATAGTGAACATATATACATA